CACGGCTTCAATCTTATCCGGAGCATCAATCTACGATCCGGAGGTACTAGTACAGATATATTAAATTACTGTGACTTATTCATCGAAAAATTGACAGATAATGACATTGTCATTTTAGGTATAGGCAATAATGACAAAGACATATATAAATTACATTCCAACATTTGTATAGCTTTAAGCAAATTAAGTAAAGTTTCCGTTTTTTTAACTCCTATATGCCATAATCCTTATTTTGATAAAAACACATTAAATTTTAATCTAAAATTATGGACGAAACATTTTGACAATTGTAAAATGATCAATATGAATGACGAATATTTGAATGCATTTAATTTTATAAAAAACATTTGTAATAAAATTAATTTATGCATCGATTATATAGAATACAAAAAACAATTTTTAACTGTTGAAAATATTAAGAAATTTTTAAAAAGATCACCTACTATAATCAATGAAACAAAAACAAAAGAAAATAAATACTCAAAATTGCTTAGAAAAGGCACTATACCTTATTATTTTCATCTTATGTCCCAAAAACAAACAAAGAAAAATTTTAATCAATATAATAATATCCTAACTAATAACCATGTACCTAAAAAAGGCACAATACCTTTTTATTTTAGTAACATTACCAAAAAACAAAAAGTAAATACTCGAGATAACAACGAAAGCATTCAACATACGCTGAATTCTTTTCAAAGTAACAAGGACATGTTTTTTCCAAACAAATAACAAGTACTTTACAATTTTTCACCAGAATATACATGGATTACTCTCCAAAATAGAACTAATAGAAATGACCCTTTTGGAGATAAAAAACCATATTAATCCCGACGTACTATGTTTTACCGAAACATTTGTGAAATCAGGTGAAGAAAAAAATATACTCATAAATAATTATGAGTTAGCTACATCATTTTCAAGATCATCTAAAAGAGGGGGTAGTTGTATATTAGTAAAAAAAGGTCTTGAATTTAAGAAAATAGAGTACTTCGATACACTTGCTATGACTTACCACTTTGAGTGTTGTGCAATAAACCTTATTAATAATAATTTAATAATTGTTTGCATAATAATATAGAATTCCGTCAAAAATTAAAAGTCATTTAGAATATTTTTTTGATAAATTTGACTTACTTATTAGTAAATATATATTAAAACATTCAAAAAAGAAGATAATTATTACTGGAGACATAAATATTAATATACTTGAACCCAGTCAATACACCAGGTGTCTTAAGGATATTGTGATGAAATATAACTTTCACTTTGATATAAAACAACCAACTAGAGGCAAATCGTGTCTTGATCTTATTATAAGTAACATTGACGAAGCAATTGGATCTGTGCGTTCATTATGGCTGTCAGATCACGATACTGCACAGGTATTAAAGTTTACTGCGAAAAGTAACAAGAATATCACACCAAAATCAATATATACATATATTCGACACTATTCTGGAGAAAATATAGACAGATTTAAAAAATATTTAAAATGCATTTCATTTTGTAAAGTTTATACTCAGACTGATTTAAATACAGCGTTTGAAGAATTTTTTAGCCTTTTCACATTACTCTATAAACTATGTTTTCCTAAAATAAAAGTAAAAACCAAAACATTTACTAAACTAACATGGATATCCAAAGGCTTAAAAAAAAGTTGTAGAACTAAACGTAAACTTCGATACAAGTTTTATATGACTAGAAAAATTGTTGATCGAATTAAATATATAAATTACGATAGACTATTAAAAAAATGTATAAACATTGCAAAAAGAACAACAAACAATAAATTTGTATTGAATAGTAAAAATATATGTAAAGCTACTTGGACAATTATAAAAAATGAGACTAATCGTGTATATACTAAAAATTACATAAATAAAATAATGAATAATGGAAAGGCGGTAACGGAACCTGCTGAAATAGCATCTATTATAAATAATTATTTTATTAATGCAACAAATCAAATAAATTATAAAATAGAAAATACAACTGACATGAAACTACCCCAATCAATTTTTCTGACTCCTATAAATGAGAATATTATCAAAAAAATCATAATGTCTTTAAACAACACAAAATCTGAAGGCTATGATTCCATATGTACTAAAATAATTAAATCGTGTAAGGATGAAATAAGTGAAATATTAGCATTCCTGATAAATCTTTCACTAGAGTCAGGGACTTTTCCTGATAAATTAAAACTTTCAATAGTAAAACCTTTATACAAAAAGGGAGATAAAAGTGATATATCCAACTATAGACCAATTGCACTAGTCCCAGTCCTCTCAAAAGTATTTGAAAAGGTGATGCATTACCAACTTACTTCCTTTTTTAGTAAATTTAAGGTGATAAAACAAAATCAGCATGGTTTCCAAAAAAATAAATCCACAACACATGCTGCCTTTACATTACTGAAGGATGTCTTGCAAAATTTAAATCAAAAAAACTATACAACTGTAGTATTTCTTGACATGTCGAAAGCCTTCGATCGCGTCTCACATGATCAGTTACTTATCAAACTAGAGGCTAACGGTATAAGGGGACCTGCATTAAGTTGGCTAGAAAGCTATTTAAAAAATAGGTCACAGTGTGTAGAAATAACACAATTAAATTCTAAGAACATAGCTCAGGTATATAGATCGGAATTCAACAACAACAATTTCGGTGTTCCCCAAGGTAGTATACTCGGACCATTGTTGTTTATATTATACATAAATGATTTACCTGATATCTCCAACTACAAAACTACTTTATTTGCAGATGACATCTCGGTGACGATTACGACTAGTAAAAAAAGTACACTTGACCAACACAAAAGGGACATAGTTAAAACAATTAATTCAATAAATAAATGGCTCAATAAAAATAATCTACACATTAATTTAAGTAAAACAAATATTATTAATTTTAATAACTTAAATTCTGACATAAATATTGAATATACTGGACAACTTCTGCGGAACGCTATTAGTACGACATTTCTAGGTTTAATTATAGACTCAAATCTAAATTGGAAAGAACATATCCATAAAGTGAGTAATAAAATTAACAGATTTGTATACGCGTTACATAAATTGACAAAAATAGCAAACAAAAACACTGCGATCACAGCGTATTTTGCATATGTAGAATCTGTTATCAGATACGGACTTTTAATGTGGGGTAATGGCACAGACTGTCAAAAAGTATTTTTAGCTCAAAAGCGCTGTATTAGAGCTATAAGTAACATCCCATCGGACACATCATGCAAGTCTTATTTTAAGAGTTTAAACATACTTCCTTTTCCCTGCCTCTATATATTTGAGGTTGGCAAATTTGTAAAGCAAAACAAGCACATGTTTTTACAAGCTAAAGATGTTACAAAAATTAACTTACGGAACCCAGATAAACTAGTACTTGACACAATTCCAAAAAGTAAGCGCTTTCAAAAAAATAGCTATGCAATGTGTAACACTATTTATAATAAAATACCCTCACATATTAAGCAATTACCATACCACAATTTTAAAATTTCATTACGACGATGGCTGGTAGAAAAAACATTTTACACAATAAATGAGTTTTTAAATTGTAGTGATTAAGTTTTCGATGCATGAATTAATTTATTTATATTAATTTATTTATTTATAAAATTTGTAAAATGATGTCTTTAGTTATGTGTTTTGGATTAAGTTTAGAAAGTAATTATCTTATAAAAACTTTTGGACATTTGCATGCTGTTGAAAACAGCTAAATAGGTTTTCTCAACACATTCGTTTTAAAACACCAAGAACAAAATATTTTGTACCTATTTACTAGCAAATAAAGAATTTGAATTTGAATTTGAAAATATTTTTTGTTACTGTAATTTTAATTTTATAACTTTGTTAAACTTGTTTTAAGTAATTGGTCTACTTAATAAAGAATATTCTATTCTATTCTATGGTATATATATGTAATGGTTATATTATTACCTGAATGTAAATATGCTTTTGGATAGGGCACTACATTCATTTAGTAATGAAAGTAATTGAAACAGTCATAATTATTAAATTATTCTTTATGTTGTGTGAAAAAATTAAAGATACTGCTTGACAAACAACTAAAATCTGAATATAATAGTAACTAAATATAAAAAAATAAGTACAGAAAGTTCTTGCAAAATCTAAGAATATTATTGTCCATATTTTTGATGTAATGTTCATATTTACACATGTTTAAAAACGGATAAGACTGAATAATTATAAGGATTTCTTATATTTACGCGTTCTATTCTTATATTCTTTATTAAGTTGACCAATTACTTAAAACAAGTTTAACAAACTTATAAAATTAAAATTACAGTAACAAAAAATATTTTGCAGTTCGACTCTATAGTAGAGTCCTTATCCTTGTCCAAGCGACGAGCCTCGGTCGTAAAATTTTATTGCTTTTTGCACGTAGTTTTGTCAATACAACTTTATGCAATGCATTTAAGGTTGAATTTACATTAATATATATTTATATCAACTAGAATTACGTCAAAACATTTGGCGACAGTTTTAGAGAACTTTTGTATGGAATTGTGCATATAGTTTTTTATTAGTGATCGATGTTTGAAAGTGAATTTTTGACGAATGTATCGTAAAGTTAATAAATTGTAACTTCAGGCTCAGAAGGGCTAGAACCCAGAGCCATAAAGCCAGTTTAAAAAAAATGTTATAAGCACAAATTATAAAGTTCAAAAGTTGTACCCTTGTAGCTTGCTGTAGCTTGCTACATATATATTTATCTATGGTTGTACCTATTTGATGGTTGTATGTACAGGAGTTGTAAGTTGTAAATTATAATCACAGAAAACTATCATCATCATTCATCATTACAGCCCTTCACAAGTCCACTGGTGAACATACCAGGCTTATAGGCCTCCCCCAACGAATGCCTCAACGCCACAAGAACACTATACTCTTACTTAATATACATTACTTAATATATACTCTTTGCTATACTCAGCTATACTCTTTGACAGTAGTGACAGCACAGAAGTAAGACATTTAATACTAGCTATTCCCCGCGACTTTATTACGATTGGATTATTAACTGAGTAGAGTACATATGTTCTGTGCTCCTGTGTCCTGGACAGTCCTGGTTTTAGGAATATCTATGTCAAAAAGTTTATATCCAACGTCAGGTTAATTGTTTTCCATGACGCTACAATTACTACGTCTTTTACGTAATCCACGACAGTTCTTTTCTCAAAACGTCAATTTTCGCCAATATACTGATTATATTTTGTTACGTAGAGAACACCGTTATCCAAGACAGGAGTCACGGGTGTTGGGGCGAGGGAGGGGGTTACGCTTACGTTACGGCGTGAACGGTGCGGGTGCGGTTGCAGCGCAAGTTCACTCTGTTACTCGGTCATTACGGTATTTTTCTGTTGCGCGTCCCACATTAACGATCTTGAAAGAAAAAGTGACAATGCCCGAAAATAAACAGTTCCAACGACTTCCGAAAAATGTCATACCTAAACATTACAAATTACAATTGGTTCCAAATCTCGAGAAATTTACTTTTAACGGGAAAACAGAGGTGAAAGTATCGGTAAGACGGAATTTCATCATAATGTAAATGTTGCAAATATCTTGTTTCCATGTGACGTTTCTATCCTAGTCGCTGTTTTCACTTTCAGATTGTGAATTCTACCAAAGAAATAGTACTCAATTCTTTAGATTTGGATTTAACCAGCGTGAAATTACAATATGACGATTCAGAATCTAATTCGGCGCTCAGTCCTTTGGAAGTGCGGTTATCTGCACCGGATGAGACAGCAATTATACTCTTCGAAAAACCTCTACGCGAGGGCGATGCAACGCTTTATTGTGAATTTACTGGTGAGATTAACGATAAAATGAAGGGTCTGTACCGAAGCAAATACTTAACCCCAGGTGGCGAAGAACGCTATGCTGCCGTTACTCAGTTTGAGGCTACAGATGCACGCCGATGTTTTCCGTGCTGGGATGAACCTGCCATTAAAGCAACTTTTGATATATCATTGGAAGTGCCAGCTGATAGAGTTGCTCTTTCAAACATGCCTGTGAAGGAGGAAATGGCAATTGGGGAAAAAAAATTAATACATTTTGATACAACTCCTATTATGTCTACTTATCTTGTGGCAGTTGTGGTGGGAGAGTATGATTATGTAGAAAAGAAATCTCGGGATGGTGTCTTAGTTAGAGTGTACACGCCTGTAGGCAAGAGTAAACAAGGCCTATTTGCATTAGAAGTTGCAGCGCGAGTCTTACCTTATTATAAAGAGTATTTTGATATAGCTTATCCACTACCAAAGATTGATTTAATAGCAATTGCAGATTTCTCTGCTGGTGCTATGGAAAACTGGGGTCTGGTAACATACAGAGAGACTTGCCTTTTGGTTGATGAAGAACATACTTCAGCTGTGCGTAGACAGTGGATAGCTTTAGTTGTAGGCCATGAGCTGGCGCATCAGTGGTTTGGTAACCTTGTCACCATGGAGTGGTGGACACATCTTTGGCTCAATGAAGGATATGCTTCATTTGTTGAATTTCTATGTGTAAATCATCTTTTTCCAGAATATGATATTTGGACTCAATTTGTTACTGAAACTTATATCAGGTGAGTCATTATTGGTATTCATATTGGTAGTCATAGTTTTGCCTTTATGGAATATTCAATGGGTGTTATGGAGTAATTATTTTTTTGTTCATTAAATACTTAAATATTTTTTGCTAGTATCTGCGAATAGCTCTCTTCATTAAATATTTTCAAAGTCATTTATGATTTCTAGGTGCACATCAAAACAAAAATTGGAATATTGCCAGATACTTATAGGAGAATGACCCCTTACTTGTTTACAAAATATAACTATAGACATTTTATAATGCCAGCAAGGGATCATTCACCTTACATATTGTTTGACTGACCCTGAAATAATTTAACATCCTATAAATAATTCTTTGAATACAATGATGTTGTTTTAAATTCTGTATATTTAATATCTTTTCCCATATAGAGCACCAAAATTTATTGGATAATTTTCAAAAACAGCCATAATGGATTGATCTAAAAATAATATTTGTTTTAAAGAGAAAAATAACATAAAATTTAAAGAAAACATGACAAAATTTTGAGTCACACTCAATTTATGGGACAAATTTATTGCCGCTTGTATGCCCCACTCAACACTAACTTACTATTATCAATGCTGCTTGGTGTTTAATTATTTACTTGATTATTCTTTAATAATTGTTTGTCTGTGTTTTATCATAGTAGTCGACTATAATAAAACATAGATGGAATACTACAATACACACTAATGTTAAGAAAAAGATAAAATTCTTGGTCATTACTTACCATATATGGTTAAAATATCTGTTGAACAGTAAAAACAGCCATAATGGCTTGATGCCGGACCGTCCATACAGCTACCTCAGATTTCGATTAATTCACTGCATTGCTGGTTTCATAACCTGTTATATTTATGGAAAGGCTTTTTGATAGACAAATAATTTTTTATATGTAATTCATTAACAAATTTGACGATAATGCCAGTTGAAAATCATCAATTAAATAGCCCCAATTCAGCACTTCATTTTATCTCATATTTAGTGTTTCATTATTTGTTGAAAACATCAAAGTATCGAGAAATATAAGTTATCCTTAATATTTGCAATTTTGTTGCCTTTTAAATATACCTATATTTTTTTACGATAATTGGGCACCCTTATGTTTAAACAAGCTTATTACTACGCTTTTAGCACTATTGTTATATTATTATATAAACCTAGTTGAGAAAAACGTTTTTATTATAGTTTTTTGTTTAAACCACATCATTATTCTAATATAATACAAGAAAACACGAATTAAGTAAATGGCACACAAAGTAAAACGCAATGGCGCTTACTGTTGAGGGGATATATTAATACACTATATTATAAAATATCTTATTAATCATTGTTTATATTTAAATGTTTTTATAGAGCATTAGAATTGGATTGTTTGAAGAATTCACACCCTATAGAAGTACCCGTGGGCCATCCTTCAGAAATAGATGAGATATTTGATGATATATCATACAACAAAGGGGCTTCTGTTATACGCATGTTACATAAATACATTGGTGATGATGACTTTCGAAAAGGCATGAATATTTATTTAACAAGGCACCAGGTAATTTTTAGCAATGATATTTTTCTACCAACTTCAAAAAGGAGACGGTACTCAATTGACAGTATGTTTTTTTTATTTTTATATGTGTAATATCATAACTTTTTACTGGGTGAACCGATTTTGATGATTCTTTTTTTATTTGAAAGCTGGTGCTTTACATGTGGTCTCATATAAATTTGATCAAGATCTGACCAATAGTTTTTGAGTTATTCTTAATAATTTATATTGAAGTTGGTTGTACAAAATTTTAATTTTAATTATTATTCTTACTGGGTGTGTCAATTGTCACTTAGTAAAAATATAAAAAGTATTATACAAAACAAAACAAATAAAAAGCAATGGCCACTCTTCTGACATGCTTGGACTAGTAAAGTCTAATATAATATAACTTGAAACATTTGTTATTTCTTTTGTCTATTTAAGTATAACAAAGTAAGGCATTCAGTTTATTTTTAAATCTAGTAATTATGCAATATGTTTCTTGAAGTTATGTGATATATTATTAATCTGTCGCATTTTAAAAGTAAAGATCTTTCTTAGTTCAATAATTAACATAAGTTTATAATGGTTGCCATTGTCTAGTTAATACTTTAAAAAGTATAGATGATTTTGTCACAGAGTTCTTTTTATTAGATTATATCATACTCTTTGCTTAGGAATTTAAATAATTACGGGTGCTTTCAATAATAACATATTTAATATTGCATTCTGTTAAGCAAAGTTATATTTTTAAATACAATTATTTATATTTTCCCAGTTTTAAAAATAAACTTATCATATTCATAAATTTAATTCACAATATTCTACATTTTGGTGACAGTCTCATGTTGGAGACAATTAAGGTTTTATACTAGTCCAAAATAGTCATTGTTTATGTTATTTAAACAAATGAAACTGAATTAAGGGAATATTATAAAAAATGTAATCATTTTTATTTTCCAGTATAAAAATACTTTTACAGAAGATTTATGGGCAGCATTAGAAGAAGCTTCAAATAAACCTGTAGGAGCTGTTATGTCAACCTGGACTAAGCAGATGGGTTTCCCCATGGTGCAGGTGAAGCTTTAATAATAATTTGTATTTTTAGATGTATGTGTAAGCCAATGTAACAACTTGGTAACAAATCCCAATTTAATCTGCTAAGTAACAAATGAGGCTCGAAACTTAGTCATATAATATATACTTTTATGTATATGAATTATCTGTCCATGTGTATGTCACTGAGCTTCACCTAAATGGCTGGACTGATCTTGATGAAATTTTGTGTGTGATCAAGTCGATTCGAGAATGGTTATACATATATAGGAAAATGACAAATCTAAATTCCAAAGAATCATGTTACATAGACTTTATTTCTCAGTGATGTTTGTATTGTTAGACGGGAGTATTACGGCTTCATGGGGACAACTTTTGTCTGTAATAGTGTATGGTAAATACGGGCTGTGGAGTGGTGCATGTCACTCCGGTCTGCCATCGCAGCGCTTTGCTTCCCATCCACTATTAGTGATTCCGTATCAGATTGTGTAGTATCAGTGTGTGGGCTGGCGACATTTGGTTCGACGGGATTGAGCAGGAAGCAGACAGCATAACAAGTTCAAGATTATCAGTTCTGAGCCCACCAATTCTACCTGCTCATTATGATTGAGAATGAGCAAAGCTATGCCTGAAGTTACAATCTTAGTTTAGGTCTATGTTTAATATTGCACTAAAAAAAGGCTCATAATAAAGATAATAGTGGTTATTAAACATCACTATACTATAAATAGCATTCCTTGAGCAGGTCTAGGTTCAGCTGTAAGTCCTGTAATGATGATGAAGATACCATGCCACCTTACATCATTGTGATTTCTTCAATTAACTAATATAATTTAACTGTGTTAACTATGCAATTTTAGGTTAGCTCAGAGCAAAGGGGACAAAACCGTGTTCTGAAGATGACTCAGCAAAAGTTTTGTGCTGATGGTAGCCAAGGTGATGACACACTGTGGATGATTCCAATAACTATATCAACACAGGAGCAACCTTCAAAGGTATCAGATATCTATTCCTAAACCTATTACAATAATTCCCTTCAATTTTTATCCTTGAGGTAACAATGTTGTCAATAAAATTTATTTCATCTATTATCTTATCTCATAACATTGGAATTTATTAGCATTGACCTACTTTTGATTTCCTTAAATGATAAGAAAGATTGAAAGATAAATGCAATAAGTAAATTATAATTTAATTTATTAGCACATAAAAAATTCTCAAACAAATATATTTATGGAATATACAAACTTTTTAAATTTATTTGAATGGGGAAGTTAAGTCTGGTTAAAGTAATCTTAAAAAAGGTTACATGTTTAGAAAAAAGTGGTGACAAAATGTATAGAATTAAACATTGACTTCAGAATGTAAAATTATTTTATATTTATTCTAGTTGCTGACTAAGGTATATCACAACCTCAATTTTGTCTAAATAGACATTAAAAATTCATCCCCTATTTTGGCTCTTTGAGGTAAAATTTTTTCTCCAAATTTACGAGCTATTGCATATGGGTATAAAGGATTGACAAAAAAGTGTTACAGGTCATGTTGTGCTGTAACACTTAATATTCATATGCAAATTATAAACAAAACAGATGAAAATAGTATCATTAACAATTGAGAGCCACATGTAGTGTTTGGTATATTCAGGTATGGTATTTTTTTCAGGTCGCTCTGTCTACTGTATTAGACAAGAGGTCTCAAGAAGTGGTATTGGAGAATGTATCCGAGAGCTCATGGGTCAAACTTAATCCAGGAACTGTAAGTATTTATAATTACACTATTACACCTACTAGAATATATCAACAATGAATCACACCAATATGCAACCATTGAAATAATATGTACTAACGTAATAGAACAGCAATTTCAAACAAAAAATGTGCGCTACTCATGTCATCGCGCATGCGCAGGGGAGAGTAGTGTGCTGCATGCGCGGTTAGTTTTTATCATAGATTATACGTAGGTAGAATGATCAGTATGTAATAATAGATTGTATTGTTAATTATGTAAACTATGAGTACAATTTTAATTAAATTTTATATAATATTATATCACAAGTACATTTTAATGATATTTTTATTTGAATACTAGCTGTTCCTCGCGACTTCGCCCGCGTATAATTTATGGTTTTAATTTTGTTGTGCGGAACCCTAATTATTTTTCAAAATATAAGTAGTCTAAGTTACTCCTTATAACATGAGCTATCTACTAGTGAAAATCCCGTCAAAATTGGTCCAGCCGTTTCGGAAATTAACCGGAACAAACAGACAGACAGACAAAAATTTTAAAAATTGTGTTTCTGTTATAGGCACTGTATATACTTTTATATGCAATTAGTTAAAAAGCTGTTATTTTGACATTACAAACAGACACTTCAATTTTATTTATTTGTATAGATGTTAATAGGTAACTATGTAAAATATAAAAAAGCATACTAAATGTATGATTAACAAAATTTATTATTATAATATTTAATTTACAAATATATTTATTTATTTTATAATAAGAGTCGTTCATATATGCTTGGCACGCGAGAGTGAAAAATGGACCAATTTATTCCACTTTTTCCTTATATTATGAGTAACTATTAAGTATGACTATAAGGTGGCTATTAAAATTTATCTCTAAGAAAGCAATTACTGCTTTGTGTTTACACAACAATGGTGTTTATTTAAAAATAACAACAGTTAGCATGTATGGTTACAACTTATTTGGTTATCTGTGCAGAGTGGCTACACAAAAAGCACAATTTACAATATTCACATACTCACACCTTTAATAACACAATCTTTAGTCAAAAATTACACACACACACACACACACATTCCAGATGTTATTTATAGGTAATATTTGTGTTGCAGATATGGTGTTCGTTGATGACAGAATGATCTAGTGGGCGTATTTATTTATACAAAAATTATAATATTGTTTGCATGTGTTAATCTGGTTACAATCATGGTATGGAATGTTGTAGTTGGAGGGACCTTAGTAAATTATGTAATAGAAATCTAAATTCTAAATTAATTTGCCTGAAAAGTTAACCTATATAGTTACTATTTATCCTATGTTTTCTTACATTTATGACTTTTTATATTTTTATAGCTACTTTCTCAATGCAAATTACACAATATATTAGTGGATACAATATCCACTAATATATTGTGTACTTTGCATTCACATTGGATACAGTTAATTTTAGGGACTTGAAAGGACTTTAAAAAAAATTTGTACTTTGTATTCCCACAAGGAAGGATGTAGTTAAACTTTATTATATAGTATCCACGAAATAAATGATTCTGATTCTGGACACTTTGATGACACATATAAAGACACACTAATCAGTTTAAATATGTCAGAAATCAATTAAAGGGTCCTTTTATTTAGGTGGGATATTACCGCACCCGCTATTCAGCTGTAATGTTGGAACAACTAGTGACTGCTATCCGAGATGGCTCATTGCCCCCTCTAGACCGACTCGGCCTGTTAGATGATTGTTTTGCCCTTGTCCAAGCTGGTCACACACAAACTTCGGAGGTATGTATTGTGCTTTTAAAACCTAAACCTTTTAAACCTAATAAACTAAGACTAAGCCATAAAACTTTCCTATGAAATTTTAAACGTCATGCATTTGCTATTTTATCTTTGGAGATTTTGCTTGATTTTCAAGGAATTTTTTTTTAAATATAATTTTGCCTTTGTTTTCAATATAATTTGTGAACCGGTGCAGAAGAGATGCTTCATAGCCTTAATAATTAATGGTTGTAATATAGCCGTTATTAATAAAAGCCGAGTTACAAAAATACTATCTGTTCAACATTCACAAACACTCACGCCTGTCACTCAGAGGGGTAGGAAGAGACTACGGACTTCCATTTGGCACAATTCTGACACCTCTCTCGTCTCCTTTACATCCATATATGCTCGTCGGTTGAGGATGATAAACCTTCGTCTAAGCCGTCCCTTCCTGACTCTGCTATCTATTCAAATTGAAATAAAAAAGCTAGACTAGACCTATGGGTATCCATGCGCAAATATATGTAAAACTTTAAAAAAATCTTAATAGTTTTAGTTTTAAATAAACTAAACGGAATGTTGCATATTAAATATTTATGCTTTTCTTGTTACAGTCACTAAAACTCATGGAGGCATTTAGCAATGAAACCAACTTTACAGTTTGGTCTTCAATATCAAATTGTCTATATAAGCTGAGTGCACTTTTTTCATACACAGCTTTGGACAAGCCTCTAAAGAATTATGGCCGTAAACTTTTCTCAAATGTCACCAAAAGGTTGGGGTGGGATGCAGAAGAAAAGGAAAGTCATCTTGACACACTTCTCAGGAGCTTAGTACTCAATAAAATGATCAGCTTTGAAGACCCGGACACTATAAAAGAAGCAAAGAGTCGGTATGTACACTATTTTAAACTCTTTAACTGTAATTCTTCTTTTATATAAATAAAATGAAGTTGTGCTCGCATCACGGAAAATCTACTAGATAGATTTCAATTAGGTTTTCTAAGTTTTATTTCTTAGACACGTGGCCCTTATCTAAAAAATATTGTGATATCTTAATTTAATATAAAGTTATTAAAGTTTTAAGAAACAACAATTTTTATACAATGTTTTAAACACGGTCAACTGTACGTCGCTTGCTCTCGTGTTACTAACCCAGATAATTTATATATTATAGCTACAAACTGAGTAACGAATATTTCAATGTTTACAAAGAAATTTTGTAAGCAAAGTATAGCTTCTGATCTTTTTGATGTTTTTTTCCTTCGCACATACGAAAACTTTCTTAATATATCAAGCAACGCGGACAAAGTTGCGGGTATCAGCTACTTATATATAAAGGAGTACAGTTGAAGAAGTAGTAAATCCTGATATTTAAATTTTACTGCTAATAATGAACATACATTAATACTTACAGTGACTGATGAAGCAAAAGCTAAATTAGTCTACTTTGCATACTTCCACACTACCATGTTTTACGGTCTATTACTGTGGGTATCTGTAGCTGTATTAGAATAGAATAGAATAGAATAGAATGATTTTTTATTCAATATGGATTATTACATAATACTTATTGAAAGTCATTATTTTATTTACCACTATTGGAAACAATATTCACCAAAAGGAAGTGATACAGACAATCTATATCTTGGGGCCGCGCCTTTCGCTACGCTACCTTTTAAATGAGACTAATAACTTGATACCTGTCTTTGTTTATTATTAAGAACATCATCCATGTATTGAAAAAGAACCAAAAAAACCAGACTGTTTTCTGCAAAACGGCTCACGTTGATATCTTAAAGGTTAGCTAGAACTAGAAAGTCTTTTAATAATGAATCCAATAAAAAAGTAATAAAGTAACTTAAATGACATGCAATTAAACAAAGTAATAAAATAAAAAAAATATAGGTAAATTTTGTTAAAAAGAAGCCTGCTATAAAATAGATAAATATATTGATCTATTGTTATTATCAATAAATTGGGGACAAAGATTGATTGATTATATTCATTTGTTTATAATAAATCTATGAGGACAATGAAGTGTAAAGATAACTTATTACTTGCAAGATGTCCTTTATTGAAGTTTGAGTGCCAGCTTATCCACCATTATCTTCAATTCTGGTTGGTAAAACTTTAATAAACTGTACTTGCGTTGTAGTATAACAGCTGACCCAAACTTCATAGTAGCCCATTGTTCCTACCTATCTTGGGAGCATGTGTTGAAAAATTTTCAGCTTTTATAAAATAAGGAAGGTCTGGCGATCACGGCCTCTTAGTCAATAACAGTCCAAACACAGTTATTGCACTTAAAAGTGCTCAATTCAACAAAATGGCAATTTCATTGGTAAAACACCTAGTATTCTAGTATCCATATCACTGGTTCTCTCATTCTCAAAAAAATCCTGCAGATTCGAGAAGCACATATCGGGTGTATGCGCACTCCCGGCTGATTTACGGTCAGCATGTTACCGAGCGGTGCTGGCTGAAGCGGACGAGGCTACATTCCAGCGGTTTTTGGAATTGTACCGTGCAGCTGACCTGCACGAAGAGAAAGACCGTATTAGCCGGGCGCTTGGAGCCGTCAAAGATCCTGCTCTCCTTAAACGTGTCCTTGATTTCGCTATATCGGTGAGTGTAGATTAGTTATTCATCAACGTATAAATACATAATTATTATTGCATGTATAAATATAATGATACTTTCTCGTTATTTTGTATTTGATCAAAATTGTCTTTTAGTAGTACAGTAGAATCCGTTTATTATGACTTTGCCTATATTGACCAACCGCTTATTATTAAATAATTACCCAGCGAAGTTTGGTTTTCATATAAAATCCTTTATAACAAAGTCGGATATGATGACTTTGCTTCTAGTGACATGTCGCTTATTGTGACCCATTTTTAATAAATTGTGTCCGATTATAGTAACCGACATGATTCCTAACACCTTTGGCAGTGTTCGGGAGAGGCACGTGATACTTAAAGAAGTTCGGCGCGTGGAGGGCTTTTTTTGTTTTGAATCTCAGTGAGTAATTGTTAGTTGAAGGTTACGCATTGTTTGTTAGTGGTTAGTGAAAAAAATTACATCTCAACGTCGTCGTAAAACATTTACGATTGAGGAGAAAGGTGTAATAATATGCACATTAGAAAATGGAGAATCCAACTCATCTCTCGCAAGGGGTTGGTCATTCGACAATCTCAATGATTTTTAATAACAATCGTTCAATCCAATTGTTTAGAAACCTAAGTGGCTTCGAAAAGTGGAACAGGAAAATGTTGATCAAGTGTTAATTTAGTGGTTTAAAATCATGAGAAACTAAACAATAACTGTTAGCGGCCCCATGTTTTGGTATTCTTGATTGCAAATGTTCTGCGAGCTAGATAAGTCGTTTTAAAGTTCGACATAACATTGTGGCGGGAAAAATCGTCGGTGAATCTGTGTCTGTTGATCAAAATTCAACAAAAAACTGGTTGGCGTCTGTGTAGTCGAATCTACGAAGAATATTTTCTAATACTGAGATTTTTAATGCAGATGAAAAAGAAATTGCTCGTTATTGGAAAGTCACAAAAACCAAGATGTTTTAAAGTAGTGTTAAATCGTTACCTGTTGATAATGCAAGCACTTGTAAAGCTTGGTCGTCAGAAAATTTTGAAAAAATGGCTTTGAGGTTGCGATCACGATTGAAAAAATACATTACATAATATCAATAGCAGCAAAGTAAAAACGGACGCGATCTACAAAATTGCAATTTTACAGGAGAAGATTTAGTAAAAAATTGTGGTCATTTTTAAAGGTTATGGACCGATTAACATGAAATTTTCTATGAAGCATTAAAATACCATTTTTTATGAATTATGTAATAGTTTTTATCGCTATGTCGTTGTTTTACTATAATAATTTAGATGTCTTTTTTTTACTCTAAAAACTTTGACGTAAAAGAAGACATCTGCCTGATATCCGTTTATATGTTGTGATAAAAAAGCGTCCATTTAATTAAAAATATGTAATAAACTAAGATAATAAGGAATAATCTCCATTAATACTTTTAAGGATATTTAAAGAAAATCTAAGCAACATGCAAACAGTATTTCCCTTTTTTGACGAAATTTTGCAGATTTCTTTATTTACTTTGCATTTAACATTTTATACATTATCAATTAATGAGTTACCTACCAGGCGGACAAATTCAAATATCCGTTTCTACTGTGATGTTTTTTAAAATCGAGGGTAGATGTCTTCATTTACGTGCCAGGTTTTTTTCATTATTTTGAAATTTGAAATAATTTTAATACAGACTTGTAGATAGAGTTGATTTAAGCTCATTTGTGTAAAAAAAGCATTTTCATAAAAATGTAGATGTCCGTTTCTACTTTGCTGCCATCGATATGTACTTATTACATACAATTTTTATTTTTATTTATCTCTATTTTGCTTGTATCTATTAAAATAAATACATACTAACAAAAACAGGAGATTGTTTATTTTCTACAAAATGCTTTGTTTGACGTCCGCTTAGTACGACGTGTTTGTTATTTCCCTTCGATGTCATTATAAGCGGATTCCACTGTATTTTAATTGTATTTATTTTATAAATTTATTAAAATATGTCAATTTCAATAGGATGAAGTCCGCTCTCAAGATACTGTATTTGTAATAGTATCGGTGGCTGTAAGTAAAAATGGACGTGACCTTGCATGGCAGTTCTTCAAGGATCATTGGCAAGAATTAATGGATCGGTACCAGGTAATCATAATTGTTAAATAATAGCTGTATGTACTGCATGATTATATTAATATTTTTTTAATATTACAAACTTAAAGAGTTAACAACACTATTATCATATATTAAACAACTATTATTATATATTAAACAACTATTATTTAAATCCATTTGGTTGGTGGTACCAAAGTATTTTGATTTCATGATGCAAACTAATTAAGATCACAATAATACATAATCAACATCATCATCACCGTTATAATATATGTATGTGTACTACCCGTGCGGTTAAAGAATGGGATTGAAAATGGCGTCGCTTCAATTCACTTCTCGCTCGCACACTGTCGCTATCTATATTCACACCTGCCGATAAAGACTGCAAAGAAGATACGTTGCGATATGCGCTCTTCATACTTTCTATAACTTAAGTCCAACTTATCATTGGAATCAATCTCATAAACTACAAAAGAAATTCGGTTCAGTTTCGCTAATTTGTGAACTAAGACGCGTTCTGAAAGTTTTCTTCATAATCATTGTTGTTTTTGTATGTGAATATTTTTGTATAAAATATTTACACGCTATTGAGACATGAGTATTTCCAAAATTTTCGTTTGTCTGTCTGTCTGAGCTAATCTTCAGAAAAACTGTAACTTCACGAACAAACTTAAGTCTAAATAATGCCAGCTTAATAGTTCTCACCCAGGCGAAACTAGAGCAAGTGGCTAGGTATAAATGTTATTTTAACATTAATGTAATTTACCTACTTGCGTTTACAATTATTTTCAAATATTTTGTCATTAATAGAAAATTTCCATTAAATTGAATAATGTAACGTTTTAACGATATAACGCTAATAGCAGATTTTCGCCGCCATTTTGAATCCCATTGTTTATACGTACGGACTATATGTGTATGTGTAAACTTGAACAGGGCGGTTTCTTGCTGGCGCGTCTCGTGAAATCGACGACGGAGAACTTCGCGTCGGAGGCGAGCGCGCAAGAGATCGAGGAGTTCTTCGCGGCGCACCAGTCGCCGGGCACCGAGCGCTCCGTGCAGCAGGCGCTGGAGACGGTGCGCCTCAACGCCGCCTGGCTGCGCCGCGACCTCGCCTCCACCGACGCCTACCTGCAGCCGTACCACTGAAACTCACATAAACGTTAGTCCACTTTCCCCACTCTCATTTTTGTGAGGCTTTTGGAAAGATCAATCCGCCGCGAGCTTCGGGGCATGTTGGCGTACTTACCTTTACTTCCTATAAATGCATACATAAAGAAAAGTGATACATTCACTTTAACGCTGACATGAGGATGTCTAAATGTGTAGTGGCTGTGAGTAATCTTGTAATCAATCTTCAATATTTAAAGTATAAATGTTCAATCCACGCTTTTGGGACCATATGAAAATAAATAATTTGTAATAATAATATTTTATAATATTTATAAAGCCTTAATAAATAACTGCCTAATGGCTAAATAACTGCTAAATGGCTAACAGGCTTAATAAATGCCGTGTAGTGGCGGTCAAGAATATCCACTACCCCATATCTTCCCGTGGGTGTCGTAAAAGGCGACAAAGGGAAACAGGCAGAAGATGGGCAGCAGCATCTTCCTGATAACAGCAAAAGTACAATAAAAAAACTGCGGTTGCCAACCCGCTCGCTAATCGTGGCAACTAAGGCAAATACCCCAATGATAAGAGCAACAAAGAGACGGCCCCAGGTCCCGGCGACCCCGCTATTCCTGGCTACGGTGGCGACCATGGTAACGGCGGGGCAGGGGGTGCTAAGAATCTCCGGTGGAAGTTTGGTTGCCACCTAAAACGACTCGACCTGGCAACATACAACGCACGCACCCTTCTAAGCCATAGAACTATTGTATTATTAGTATTATTATTTTTTATTTTCCTGCTAAAAAAACTATTATAAAAGATTGAGATTTTGTTCATAGAAATACATGTTATCCAAGTACTACTGAATAATTTTTTTTTACAATACGGTATGACTCCGTTACCATTAAGAAAATGGTTTCCAAGGTTTTCGTTGATCACCATACGATATCATTATCCTGCTATTCACATTCGTAAATTTGAATAAAAATTAAAAGATTGTATGGATAATGTAACGGCGGGGCAAGGGGTGCTAAGAATCTCCGGTGGAGGTTCGGTTGCCACCTAAGACTACTGGACCTGGCAACATACAACGCACGCACCCTGAGGACTGACGAGAAGATCGTGGAGCTGGAAGAAGAGATAGACAAGTTACGCTGGCATATTATAGGATTATCCGAGGTCCGAAGAGAGGGGGAGGACACGGTAATCCTCGAATCCGGCAACTTGTTCTATCACCGGGAGGGCGACCATCTGTCCCAAGGAGGTGTGGGATTTATCGTCCACAAGTCTCTCCTTAACAACGTTGCAAAGATTGAGGGTGTGTCGACGAGGGTTGCGTAGCTTATACTCAGAATCGCCAAACGGTATTCGCTGAAGGTCATACAGGTTTACGCACCAACCTCGGCACACCCCGATCAGGAGGTGGAGGAAATGTATGAGGATATCTCTAGAGCCATGCATTCCTCCAAAACCCATTATACGGTTTACATAATGATTTCTTAAATTTACTCGAACACTACACATTTAATTAAACTACTTTTACGGATTTTATCGCGTTTAATTAACTTATTTTTATATTCCCGACGTTTCGGTTGTTTTCCAGCAACCGTGGTCACGGGGACTGAGGTGATTGAGGTGATTGACATGGACAAAACAAAAATCATGTTTAACGTCCATGTCACATCTATGCCGGTAGTTGTTGGGAGTACTAAGCTCGAAGTTGTTGACGAGTATGTTTACCTGGGACAAATAGTCCGACTAGGTAAGTCCAACTTCGACCGAGAGGTCAATCGACGGATTCAACTCTGCTAGGCAGCGTTCGGGAAACTACGACACATCTTCTCGTTAGACATACCTCAAAATCTGAAAACGAAATTGTACAACCAGTGCGTGTTGCCAGTGATGACTTACGGATCTAAGACAGCTATGGTGAGGGCTATGCTCGGGGTTTCTCCGCGTGATAAACTTAGAAATGAGGATATCCGCAGTAGAACCAGAGTAGCTGACATAGCCCAGCGGATTAGTAAGCTGAAGTGGCAGTGGGCCGGCCATATAGCTCAAAGAATCGGTTCTTTGAGCTATATGGCCGGCCAACCGATGAGGAAGAAAGGTTCTCGAGTGGCAGCCTCGTACCGGTAGGCGAAGTGTAGGGCGACTCCCACTAGATGGAGTGACGACCTGGTGAGACATGCAGGAAGTCGATGGATGCAGGTGGCTCAGGACCGTGCTTTGTGGCATTCCTTGGGGGAGGGCTATGTTCAGCAGTGGACTTGTGAAGGGCTGTAATGATGATGATGATGAATAAGTAACTAAATTATTATTTGTTAAGAGTGATTGTACGTCGACGAACGGATACGAAGTTAGTACGTATGGTGTGATTGCGGAGCAGGAAGAATTTCAAATTATTGCAATTCATACAAATTTGAGCTTTAATACACACACACACTGATGTTACTACTCTTATATATGCATGCTCTTATATAATATTGTTCAGTTATTTATGAAAAAACATGTCTGATTAAAGTAGTAGTATTGTAGTATTATAGTAACGTAATTGTTTTTTTTCTACAGGAACAAATGGCAAGACTGAAACAGCAACGAAATTTATAACATTGTTTCAATTCAATATTATGTAACTATTTTAAACCAAGCTTTATGTTTAGTGTTAAACTCTCTTAACTAGACAAAATGCAATTTGATAAATATGTATCTTATTTTTGTTATAATCATAATAATCTCAAAGTTGTATGAAAGGGCACAGCTGTTATATATAATACGACTGCTATAACCAAAAACAATATAGATAATCTGTTTTTAAACACAAGAAATTGGCTGTTTATAGTTACCTATGTGTTAATTGTTCCTGAATCAAGTCCTTTGAGCAGTGTTCTATAGTACAAAATTAGAAAATTAACACTGCTGAAGGCTAATTTCATAATATTTTGAAGATAGCAAACAAAACTGGGTTGCCGAGGTATCATTATCATTTACATCATGAAGACTTACATGTCTTATCTATTTTCATACAAACTACAAACTTTAAAGAAACATCTGGTAGCTTATTTTTAACAATTTAAAAAAAGTACGAGAATTTTCATAATCAGCATAATTTCCTTTAAGGTACAACCGACTTTTCAAATATTTCTGAAGTGAGTGACAACTTCTTTACAATCTTTGTGATTTGAAACTCGATGAAATGAAAAAGCGACACTCAAAGGAGACAAACACTACAAACTATACATCTATAGGATTAAGCCTGCGAGAGAATGAGATAGATACAGTGTACAGTGATTCCTATTATCTGGGTCCCCTTTTCTGAAGGTTTCACTTCTACCGCGTGTGAACTGCACAACGCGTGTCTTTTTTTAAATTAAAACTATTTTTACAGTAGCCCCTAAATATTACTTAATGAATAATAATTAATTTTTTTTTAATGATCCTATCTAAAGTTATTGCAGGTTACCTAAATTCATACATGTGTGGCATGTTGTGTAAATTTGTATAAATATTAATTTATCTTAGGTTTATGTTACAAACTAATATTGGTGGTGCTAAGTATGGTTTTGTTTCATTATTATAGCTGCATTTTGAATTGGGTACTGTTCAAAACGCTAAACTAGTGTTGAAATTTATTTTTTTGGAAGGTGATTTTAACCACTGTGCAATAGGTCATTTTTCTTTTTTTCAATTTAGTGTAATTAATCTACTTACGTTTTAAAATATGTTTTGTTGACGAGTTTAAGTCAGTAAAATAATGTGATTTATGAATATAACATTTGAAGTTACCATCATTTTATTCATTGTATAATTGATTTTGTTTAGACTGTGTTATTGCATTAAAGTGTACAAAAGTACCTGTAAACGATTGTTTTATTTATAAAGCAAAAGATATTTCTATATTAGGGAGTTAAGAGAACTGGAGACTCCAAACCATCTTACAAATTTATTGGAAGAGGTGCCTGAGGAGAAGAAGAAATCCCATTGATTTCAAAATGACGGCTGTCCTGTCCTACTATACCTACTTGTTCGTGCATATCCACAAACTAGTAAGAAGTGCTAGCGCATGTATATCTAAACAGATTATACTCAAACATAAATTCACCGTCTGTTTTGTGGTCTCTACCTTCACAACTGCACATTAATATATAAAACTACACCGTTAACAATCTGCATACTTCTTAAATATATTCAAATTTCAAAGAGAGGTGGGGTAAGAGTAAGAGATGCGTAAGCATCATAATAATTTGTCTGTGGGTATAACATAGTTACCTACCAGACAGAAAAAAAAACCCGGTTTTTATGAAGAAGTTGTTGCCGTACTTTTGAGGTATACATTATACTAATATAACGATAAAATAAACTATTTCGAGATTATAAAGATTTTTACATAAGTGTTTTTAAAACTTAAGAAAATATAAAACAGGAAAACTGTTAAGTCTTCCCCCGCCTCCCGCTCTTACTGGGGTAAGACCTAGCTTATCTATGGGTAAGAGGCCCATAGATAAGCTAGGTCGGTACTACGTGGCAGAGCCATGCTGCAGCTATATTATGGTTGTAGCACGAATGGGTCGTCTCGGCCGGGGAAGGACCACGCTCTCACAGAAAACCAGCGTAAAATAGCAGCTTAACGCTGCTGTGTTTCATATGGTGAGTGTAGAGAACTGGAACCCTTTTTACTGGCAAAGAGGCAGTCCATCTTAGTCCTCACAGGTGACAACGCATCTGCATCTTGAGTCTATTGAGGATAGATGGAGATGTCTATGGGTCACAGTAACTACTTACATCAGGTGAACTGTGTGCTCGTTTGTCACCCGATCGTATAAAAAAAAATTATTACATTAAAAGTTTCCCTTGAGTTATTTGCGTAAATTATATTTACACCATAGACTTAGATTATACTCTAAGTCTATGGTGTAAATATAAACAAGGGGCAAGACTAACATACAATAAAAATCAGGTGTGATAAATATGTTATCTTATGTATATATTAATATTAATATACAATAAAATTCTAACTCTTTATTGTTTTGCCCTTAAAGTTTGGTTCTCAATATAAATTTTCACCTCGACAATATTTAGTCCAGTTTCACCAATTTTATTTGTCTACTTTACGGAGACTGCTGTTTGAACTGACTGAAGCTTTTGTGATTCCGTAATATTTGTAATTAGGTACTAATTACATCATTAGCATTGTTATATGTAGTCATCATAATATAGCTATCATGCGCGCGTGTGGTGTGGTGCCAGATGCAAAGAATAGCACCACCGCATCTCTTCTCGTGGGTGTCGTAAAAGGCGACAAAGGGATTCACCCGAGGGCTGCAGCGTTCTCTTTGTATTTAACAAGCATACTGCGAAATGAAAACATTCTCAAGGAGGGTTAAGGTCAGCTGCTTCGCCGACCCCCAATAATCTTGGTTAAGAGCAGGAGAGTTGTGGTCACGACGCGTGCGATCTTATTGACTTCGGACACGGAGGTAAAAGTACGAAACAAGTGAATAATTATAAAGTAAAGTTATAATCATCCTCAAAATGAGGCCTATGTTCAGCAGTAGACTTGTGAAGGTCTGTAATGATGTTGATGTGGTTTAATTATAATTAAAACCAAAATTGAAATTTAGGTAGATAACAATTTATACTTTCATTTATGTGTTGTGTCTCCCTCCCAGAATTAATTCAGATCGCACGCGTACTGTACCTACATTCATTTTATTTTTGCGCTAATTAACAAATTCCTTGTCCGCGAAATATACACAATAGTTAAACAAAGTTATGATTCATGTGACAGTTAAAGGGTTAAGACAGAGTTTTTACATAGAAGTCTGAAGTAAAATTATCCAACAAGAAAATTTTCGTTAACTTTGACTTGGGGAAAGACACACATACGTTTGCCTTGTCTCCGAGTCTCCGACAGACTGATAGTCTTTCTTCAACTAACAATTTCTTAGTTATGTTTTTGTTTCCTTAAACATTTAAGAAGAAGAAGAAAGTTTTTTCGCATGAAAGAGGTTTGTTTTGATAAGTTTGGTAACTGGTCTTGGTAACACCATACCTAAAACGACAAGATTCATGTATGCGAAATTCATGAGGTACCTTGAGGATCACCAGCTGATTAGTGACCGCCAGTACGGTTTTCGTCGGGGTCGATCAGCTGGTGATCTTCTGGTCTACTTGACTCATAGATGGGCGGAGGCAGTAGAGTCCAAGGGGAAGGCATTGGCCGTTAGTTTGGACACAGCGAAGGCCTTCGATCGGGTCTGGCACAAAGCGCTTCTTTCGAAGCTGCCTTCCTATGGGCTTCCCGAGAAATTGTGCAAATGGATCACCAGTTTACTTGCTGATCAGAGCATCAAGGTCTTAGTAGACGGTGCATGCTGTGATTACCAGCCTATCAACGCTGGTGTTTAGCAAGGCTGCGTGGTATCACCAACGCTGTTTCTCCTGCATATCAATGATATGTTGCAAACTAGTAACATTCATTGCTATGCAGACGACAGCACTGGTGATGCCTTATATACCGGCCGTGACAATATTTCCCGGGAAAACGTCGCCGAGTACCGGGACCAACTTGTGTCCGAAGTCGAGTCTTTGCTGCACAAAGTCTCGGATTGGGAGCGACTAAATCTAGTCCAGTTCAATCCCCAGAAGACACAAGTTTGCGCGTTTACCGCTAAAAAGAACCCCTTTAACGTATATCCTCAGTTTCAAGGCATTCCTCTTGCTGCCTCGGCTAGCATCTGAATTCTCGGCGTAGACATATCGAATAGTGTGCAGTTTCGTGGTCACTTGGAAGGGAAGGCCAAACTGGCCTCTAAAAAGCTTGGCGTGCTCAGCAGAGCGAGACGGTATTTCATGCCGGCACATCGCTTGCAACTTTACAAGGCGCAGGTAATCGACCTCACATGGAATACTATTCTCATCTCTGTGCCGGGGCACCCCAGGGCCAGTTCCTTCCACTTGACCGCATCCAACGCAGAGCGGTTCGAATCGTCAACGACCGAGTTCTTTCTGATCGGCTCGATACACTGGCACTGCGTATCGATGTTGCATCTCTTTGCGTATTTTATCGCATTTACCACGGGGAGTGCGGACAAAGAGCAATGGCAGAAAAATAGTTGACAAAAATTATAGCGTCTAGAAATAAGTTATATATAAAATGAGTTTTATTATTTTTTTATGATTTTTCAAGTAAAAATGTATTTTAATTAAAGCCACAGAAAAAAACAAACATTTTTGGGAATATCAAATGACTGAAATCATTTACTCTATTCAAATGTTGCCATTTAGTATATTCCTACTATTTTCGTATACACTTTGTAACACTACCAACACAACACACAAAATATTTTTATATTAAGTTATTATTAGTAATAACTGTACTATCAGTAATAACAAAAATAAAAGTAATATGGCTAAAAATAAGTCTCTTACAAAGAATTTCCTACAATAATACATTATCTCAATCATAGTACTATGTAACAATTCCATTTAATGTTATGCCAACACTAGCTAAAATAAAATGTCACTGTTTTTTTACTGGCTTTACGGCTCTGGGTTCTAGCTCTTCTGAGAATGTCACTATGGTACAAAAGCCCTGGAGCCATGCCAGAAATATACATTTATAGTATGCAAATATATAATAGAGATACAATAATCTAAAAACTATCAATCATGTATTATGTATTAAGCTAACATCAAACAACCACAGGAAGCATGACTTTCCAAGTGACATAGGACATAACCTAAAAAGGTTCAAATGTAAATATCTTTTTTTTGACGCCTTCTCAGTACAAAATTCTTTGACAGAGTTATTAAGGGACTGACACTTAACATTTTAAGATATTTTTGGTATATAGACGCTACCATTTCTTCTCAACTAATTTTATGTATGAAAGTCTGCCATTGCTCTTTGCGTTCAGCTTTAGGAATTGTTCGGACTAATTCCAGCCGCTCAATTTCACCATCGCACATCGCGACAAAACTTGCGATACCATCCATACCACCTGGATGCTTGGCGGTCCACGCGTGGACTTAGCGTAGTAAGCTAGTAAGCAAAGAGTATAGTAACTGTCCTATACAGGAAGTAGTAAGTTTTTTTCTTTTTGCGCCTAGAAGCAATTGGAAAATGGGCTACCCTGATACGCAGGGAAGCGGTAAATGCTTTATGCATACCACGACAGCCGGTCTGTAGTGGTTATGTGGGACTCACTGTATCTAACCTAAAGTGGAGCCTAGATGCTACCCACTAAAAACCGCCTGTGGGACTGACAATTGGCCGATTAAGCCGCTTCGTCTGATCGGACGCGACCCTCTTTTGGAAGAAGAGGGCGCAGGCGGCTACAAAGATCCGCTGAGGAAGAACCTACTTAGGCAAATTTAAGAAGAATCGGCCTGAGCCGCCAGGAGGCAGTTCAGGTCGGTTGAAATTTTATTTGGTGGGTCCGAGAGAGAGTTTCTCCGCCTGCGGACTCGATAGCGAGAGGGGGGTGGGGCTGCATAAGTTGCTGCCTCACGAATAAAGTGATTGGAATGCGACTTTGAGGCTTTGAAGAAGTTCTCAGAGTTTCTTTTAGAAATTGTTGGATTGTAGGGAGCTCTAAGTCCCGATGAAGGTCGGCATTACGGACGTACCAAGGTGCGTTCGCGGCTCGACGACAGAAGAGGGTTTGAAGTACTTGGAGTTCATTAATAATTTTAGGATCAGCGTGGGCAAAAGTGGGGCCCGCCGGTCAAGTTGCCGCCAAAACTCCATAGCTTGCAAACTATTTGCAGCACAGCTCACTAAACTTGTTGTGCGAACATCATATTACTCTGTGAGATAAATCGACGTCCTACAAAAGTAGGAGTTTTGGCGGAAAT